GGCCCATTTCTCTTCCTGCAGAGGCCCCTGGATCAAAACAGGTGCATAAATGTCATACGACAATGGAATCCACCTTATTAAGCCAATAGCACCCCTCTCTCCATCATTTCACTTGGTATACAACATTTACGCAGATTCAACAGGATGGGTAGTGTGTAGACAGACTCTACTGTGAGTGTTAAGGGCTTAGTGCATCATCCACAACCATCCATGCTAGTAACCTGAAGTTAACCTGAATGACTGTTAAGAAACAAGGTGATGTCATTAATGGCTTCATTTAGAGTAAGTGGTAATTCCTCATGTATTTTAAACTGCTAATAGGATGTATATAAGTAATGTGTCACTTAACTTTCTGGAAAGTTCCTCCAAATAACTAAGGCAAGATCCCTTGTCTAAATTTTTATTTATTTGCCTATTTGTTTATTTAGTGTGCATATTTATACATGCCAAAATGCACATATGGAAGTTATAAGACAACTTATGGGGATCATTCCCTTGCTCCTGGCAGATCAAAGTCATGTCACCAGGCTTGGTGGTAGGTGAGCTATCTCTCCAGCCCTTAGTTTTCTTTTCCAAACAGGTCATTTTAGAAATCAAAGTTACATGGTTACATTTGTTAAAACACTCATAGGCCTTTTACAGTCACCTTTAGGGTAGAGCTCATTATGTTTTAGGGAGAGAAAGAGGTTAGTACCTGGCTCTACTCATGATGTACAGTCTTGGGGATATGTAGAAAATTACTAGAAATACCAGTGTTGCTGACAATTTCTGGTGTCCTTGGAGGAGCTTCTATCAGTGGACAATGGGTCAGAGTACGTATGCCAGCATTTCCAGTGTGGGCTGCTGACTCACTAATTGGTAAGTTACAATTGAAGCTAATCCTTGTTTGGGTGAAGAATGATTATAGGGTAGCTGGTCCAACCAAGTTGCCATACTTGTCCACATCAGTAACAGAATGACATTGTTTATACCAAAGTGTGATGGACAAGAGTAAAGAAGACACTCAAGAGTGTTAACGCGTGCTTTCTATGGGAAAGTATATGCCATCCCCTGCTGTTGGTTGTTTTAGATAGACTTGGCAATGTTAAAAGAAATGGCCATTATATGGTAATGGATATTGATGGGATGACAGAACATAACGATCTTATTGCAATTTGGGAGATTAGCATCAAGGCATTTTCCTTAGTGGGGAAGCTTCAGGATGATTCTAAGAGGAAAAAAATGTATCATTAATGCCATTCTTCCTCTATGTCTCAAAATCTACGGTGGTTCTTCTGTTCATGACAGTCTCTGATCTACTTTTACCATTGCAAAGTCATTGTGTCCGTAGCCTCATCTGGTTTCCATTTATTTGTTATTAACATTAAGCATCTTTGTCCAAGGGTCAGGTACAAGAAGGACAAGTACCTTACAATAAAACCTACAGAAATCCTGGGGGACCCTGCTTGAGTACATACAGCGTCCTGTGGGTGGACTCAGTGGGCAGAGCACTCAGCCAAGGGTTCATTATCCTCATCATGCCAATTTAGCAAGTCAGACAGCAGACTACAAGGTGAATCTAATTGGCCTGTAGCTGCCATTAAAGGAATAATGAACACCATGTATGCTCCATGATGGTCAGGGCAGAACCCCAAACTTTTAATTAAAGTAATTGTAATCCTCAACCTCTTCCATCCAAAACATCACCTAGGAGTAGCAGACAGATGATTTTGTTCTGGAGAGGGCTTTGTTAAGGGACCAAACTTCTGTACAGAGAAATGTGGCCTAAGAGGAGGTCAGGCAGAGACATGGGAACTTTCTTAAAATTAAGCCTTTTATTTTTGAGGAAGTTGTAGGCACACAGGTAGTGAGTAGAAACAAACTGAAGAGATTCGTGGATCCATTCCCACTTTCCTTCAGCTTTACTATGCTGTGCCATGCTGTTTCCTAGCAGCATCCTAGCACAGCCAAGAGGCACAATGATTCCATTACCACAAAAATTCCATAGGATGCCCTTTCATAGCCAATTCCTTCCCACTTAAACCTGAACAGCCACTCATTTGCTCTGTTTCACTGAAAAAAAAAGTTGCTTAAATATAATCATAAAGCATGTATCAAAACTAAGTTGGCTTTCACATTCAACATGAAGGGCTTTTGGGTACATGCCAAAAATTTTTAATTTCCTCTTTATTCCCATGTCTCTGGAATTTTTGTGATGCTGAATTTTGCTAAGTGCTTGTCTACACACACAGATATTTTATGACTTATAACAGGGTTATGCTGATTGGCTTTTGAGTACGGAACAGGACTTGCATCCACGGGGAAAAGCCTACTTGCTTCTTCTGTGTAATTCACTTAGCTACTGCTGCATTGTATTCGCTATTGTTTTGGTAAGGTGCTTTGACATCTTTCCCTTGTCACAGACTGGTAAGAATAAACAGCAGGATGCCCATTGGCCTTTGCTGATGTCAGTGGGCCACCACTTTTACTAATATTTGGCTTGAGTGATGTGGTTATTAAATGAAGTGTAAAAGTAGTTTTCTTTTCTAGACTTCCCCTTCCCTCATCCTTGACTATTGAAGGAGCAGACAGCAAGTTTACTAAGGCTGTCCACATCCATATATATCTATACCATTTTGCATTTTAGTTACTTACTCTACAAAGTCAGCTTTGACTCCACCATGACCAAATATACAAATTAAAAGCAGGAAAAGTTTATTTGGCTTATAGTTTTCAGAGATTTCAGTCCATGATGGTTTGCCCAGTCACTTTTGGGCAGAATATCACATGATGAGGCAGAATATCACGACTGAAACACATGGTAGAGGAAGTCTGTTCGTGCCCAGTAAGAAGACAGAGACAGAAACAGGGAGAGACTATAAAGGGCTGGGGTTCAATACCCTTCAAGATCATGTTCCACAGTGGCCTGACTTCTTTCCATCAGGCCTGTCCTTTAATGGCACCACTTTCTCAGATTCTAATACATGCATTAAGGATATCCCAGATTCAGACTAAAACAAGAGCATCTGCATCTTCCATTACTTTTGATAATGGATCAAAAGTAAAACCCAAAGCCTTATCATGATGTGTTTTGTGGAATACTTAGATTTCTAGTGAGTCTGCCTTTTTCTGTCTGCCCTTCAGAATCTCTTCATGCTAGTTTATGTGTCAGTCCAAGAGTGTTGGTTGTGCACAGCTATGGGTCAACTTAAATCTGCATTCCTGAAAACTGAAGGAATCTTTTTATCTTAAGGAACCTGCCCTAGTGGTCAATAAATCTGATGCCTGAAGATAGTAATTTATGAAAATCTGATTAATCCTGATGATCAGTCATTGTGAAGCAGCTTTCCACTATAGACTGTGCACTATTGACTGATCACAAATGATTCGGAAAGCTGAACATAGACACAAATGACTTTATACAGCCACATTCAAGGGCAATCTCTTCGTGGGTTTCCTTTGCTGCCACAGGGATGAAGTGTTGGGAATCTTCTTACCCCTTGGTAAGAAGGGAGGGACCTTGTGGATTTATGGTAACATTGCAGTAGGTTCATGGTAATGCAAGTGCCTGAATATCTAATCCAAACTCAGAGGAGCTTCCTTTGTCCTCTATTGCCTAGCTTTTAACAGCTACCTAAGACAAGACCCTGGAAACTAAGGGCCCCTTCTTGCTAACCTCCTGAAAGAAATTGGGGATTCAACCCCATCACTGCAAAGAAATGAGTTCTACTAAAAAACCTGCTGCAGCCTGAAAGTAGCTTTGTCCCTCAGCCTCCAAACCTGTGAATGACAATGAAACCAGAATGCAGTCTTGTGAGACCCAGAGCAGGTGACCCGGTCAAAACAGGCCTGGACTTGTGCCTTCCAGAACTGTTGTGTGAGTTGCTTCAAGTATCAACTTTATGGTAATCGATTACATATTATGTTATTAACAGACAGCGAATGTAGGAACCCACAGAATATAATCTTTGCAGTGAAAATCTTAGGCATCAGAAGAAATTCCCCCTCCTCCCTCACGTTGATGACAACCCTCACGTTGATGACAAATGACACGTAAGCTTTTGTACGCTTAGTGAAATAATGCAACATGCATTGTCTGGAGATATCTGTGGCATGCTGGGATAGGGTGTGGGTCTTGGTTTTATCTGACAATGGAGATGATTTCTCCATTTAAGGTGAATGAAGAAATTCAGTGTAATTCAGGCAAAAGCGGCCCATTGAATGTAGGCATTGACTTCTTATTTCAGAGATCAAGTTTCTGTCAACATTCCATGTCCCAGTGGCTGCAGATTGCAGATATTTTATGTTCCCCACCCCATTTCCGGTGATTCTTCAACCACTTCCACAGGATCAAAACATTCTTGTGCGGTTCTAAAGTTCTGAGGTCAAAACCAGAGTTCTCGCCTTTTCCACGAGTACTACCTGCCTCAACAGTAAATGAACTCTAATCATTCCTTCAAACACTCACCCAGGACTTCTCCCTCAAACGATCACATTTCTGATGAAATCGGATTTCATTTAAAGGTCCATTATTCCTTCACTAGAATACTGCCCCCGAATAGCACACTCTTGACCTCTACTTTTCTCGACCCTGAAAAAGTGTGGATTGGAAAGCCTTAAGGCGGACCTGTACCGCCCTATTGGAGGCGTGGGCAGCGTGCATCTCCAACTCCTTCCAGTCGAAAAATGCCTGGGAGTTAAGTTACTGACCTGCTGGCCTTGTTCTTTGCCCAAAACGATCGCGATCACTCAGTTTAAAAGTAGCTACTTACAAGGCCTGCTGTCAAAGGGACGAGAGCAGTGGCAAGTTTCGAGTTCTAGCGATCTCTCCTCTGCCCCTCCCCAGACCCCGCTGCCATGCTGTGCCACATCAGCGACTGCACAGCGCGCCCAGCTATGCTTCTTTCTAGGATGCAAGTGGCCCAGTAGGCGGAGAAGAACTGGGCCCGCAGGAGTGGCGGACTGCTTCACCAATCGTCGACCGGGGAGGAGGATTGGCAGCCAACCGCATCCCAAGCCAGTGCCCCGCCAGGAAAACAGATGAAGCGCATCTGGACAGCTGTGCTGAGAAAGTTTGTGGGCCCCTTCCCGGCCTGCCATCCACAAGGCACGTCTCCCACGTCGGCTCGTGCTAGCCACTCACTACTTATTTATTTTTCCCAAGAAGCAATCGGCAATCCAAGGTTGAACCCTTTTCTCCCCGCTACCGCAGCACCCCGCCCCCCCCCCCCCGCAAGGCGAGGCCACATCACATTCAACAGAGTTGTTTAATTTTCATGGGGCTTTGCGATCAAAAGAACAGAAACAGCAACAAAAACCCAGCCGCCGCCTGATCCTAACTGGCAAAGTGGGGGAAAGTCGGGTGCTGAGTGAACAGACCAAGCTGGGTAAGTTCTGAAGCCAAGAGGATGTCATCCTCGTCCTTCAGAGATCTCTAGCCTGTGCCTATTCCCTTCTTGCCAGACTTCTTTGGATAAGGGGAGAAAATTTTCTCAGGCTGGGAAAGACAGCAGGAGTATCGGGGCTCCTTTCTCTGTTTCGTAAACTTTGTTTGCTATTTAAATTTTATGAGGGGTGGTGTTAGTATAAGATTCCTTGGGAACAAAATTTTGGCTGGTGTTTTGTGGTGAACTTTTTTTCATGCCACAGGTAAATTCTTCCTCCTACCTCTCTTCCTTCTCCTCCTCTTCTTGTAAACCCTGTGTACATCTTCAAATTGTAGCTCTCCTCCACTCCCTGCCTATTTTGATGGAAGACTGATAAATCTCTGATGTATTCAGAATTAGCACAACTTTTGACAAATTATTTAAACCATGAATCACATAAAAGACTTCCTAAGTTTGAATGTAGTTGAAATTGTGAATATCACTTTTCAAAGAGGGAGACATAAATTCTTTTATAGTTATTAACAAAATAATTAAACATGTGATTGACTACTTTGTGTGTCTGTGATCATATAATTATATATTTAACCCGTGATTCTATCAAAATCATAGCCACAGTGGTTGTCATGCACACAATACAGATAGCTCTAGTTTATATGTCAGTATTTGGAAATGAGGGGTAGACAATGCTTGAACTACAAGTGGCCCAAGGCCCATTCTTTCTGAAATATTTATGGTTTCCTCCATCAAAAGGAAGTTGTTAAGTGCAAAGTTATGTTGCATGCTTTTTACTATTGGGGGGAAATCGGACTCAAATCAATCTTTAATTTCTGACTCTTAAGGCAGTAAGTGAGGATTTGATGCAAAAATTGTTATTTGTTGAGCATGTTTTGGTTCACAAAGGTAGAATGATTGAAGTGTATTGAAAGATACAGTGTTAGAAAGCCATTATTCTTTTTAAAATAATTTTTAAATTTTCATTCCAACCGAAGTTCTCCCTCCCACCCTCATCCCACCTCTCCTCACCTCCCTTCAAGCCCACTCCCCATGCAATCCCCTGCAACAGGTAAGGGCTCCCATGGGTAGTCCACACAGTTTGGGGCATTAAGTTGGGACAGGACCAAGCCCCTCCCCTCTGCATTAAATCTGAGCATGGCATCCCCTCATTGGGGATGCCTTTAACAAGCTAACTCATGCACAAGGATTCCTGATCCTATTGCCAGGGGTCCAAACTTCACAACTGTCTTGCACATATTGAGGGCCTACTTCCGTCCCGTGGAGGCTCCACAGCTGTTGGTCTAGAGTTCAAGAGTTTGCATGAGCTTGGTTTAGCTGTCACTGTAGATTTCTCCATCATGATCTTGACCTCCCTAGTTCATTTATTCCCTCCTTCTTCTATTTACTAGATTCCTGAATCTCTGCATCTGGTTCTATCAGCTTCTCTAGAGCTGTGGATTGTAGTCTGGTTATCCTTTGCTTTATATCTAATATTCACTTACGAGTGAGTAGATACCGTGATTGTCATTCTGAGTCTGGGTGACTTCACTCAGGATGGTTTTTTTCTAGTTACACCCATTTACCATTTATCTGGTAATGGTGGTGCTTTTTTTTTTTTTAACAGCTGAGTAGTACTCCATTGTGTAAATGTACCACATTTTCTTTATCTATTCTTCAGTTGTGAGGGACATGTAGGTTCTTTCCAGGTTCTGCCTACTATGAATAATGTATGAACATTGCTGAGCAAATGTCCTTGTGTTATGATTGTGCATCCTTTGGGAATGTGTTCAAGAGTGATATTGCTGAGCCTTGAGGTAGATTGATTCCCAGTTTTCTGAGAAGCTGCCATACTGATTTCCAAAGTGGCTGTACAAGTTTACACTCCCACCAGCAGTGAAGGAGTGTTCCCCTGACTACACATCCTCTCTAGCATAAGCTGTCATCAGTATTTTTATATCTCAACCATTTTGACAGGTGTAAGATGGTATCTCAGAGTTGTGTTTATTTGCATTTCCCCGATGATTAAGGATGTTGAGCAATTCTTTAAATGTCTTTAGGCTATTTGAGTTTCTTTTGTTGATAATTCTCTGTTTCACTCTCCACCCCATTTTTAAAAAATGGATTATTTGGTATTTTGTTGTCTAGTTTTTTGAGTTCTTTATATATTTTGGAGATCAGCCCTTTGTTAGATGTGGGGCTGGTGAAGATCTTTTCCCATTCTGTGGACTGCCATTTTGTTTTGTTGGCCATGTCCTTTGCCTTACAGAAGCTTCTCAGTTTCAGGAGGTCCCGTTTATTAGTTTTCTATCTCAGTGTCTATGCTACTGGAGTTATGTTCAGGAGGCGGTCTCCTGTACCAATTAGTTCAAGGGTACCTCCCACTTTCTCTTCTATCAGGTTCAATGTAAGTGGCTTTATATTGATGTCCTGGATCCACTTGGACTTGAGTTTTGTGCAAGGTGATAGAAATGGATCTATTTGCAATCTAGAAGGACAAAGAGGCAATAATAATTGATGCATTAAGATCAGATCACAGCTTCACAGGATGATCTTGGATAAAAACAGCCCACCTGGTCCCCAGTGTTTTCCTTTGTAATGTATTAATAATAAATAATCATGCATACTGATGGTGTCTAGAGTACTGAGTTAAAATACGTTAACTGTTAGGACAACTTGGCACATAACAAGTCTTTGCTGGGTTTTCATTTGTTACCACCTTCTTTCAAATCTTCTGAACACCTATTTCTTCTGTGGTATTCCAACTTCTTGAGAAACTAGGCTTTATCCAGTTCTGAACACTTGCTAGCCAGGCACAATGTGAGGTCATAAAAGAGAAAGCATTATGAATAGACAGCGGAGAATTGACCGAAACCTTAGCTACAGAAGGCTCTGGAGTGTAGATGCTAGTGAAAGCCATCTGAATGTAGGTTGGCTTCATGGAAAGGCTTCCATTACTGGGAAGGGATTTTGGCAGTTTGCTTTCGAGGTGGTGGGGCTAAGAGTTACAGAGCTGAGACACAATCTAGCAGCAAGGGGAATGATGGCAGAAGCAAGGGGAATGATGGCAGAAGTAAGGGGAATGATGCAGAAGCAAGGGGAATGATGGCAGAAGCAAGGGGAATGATGCAGAAGCAAGGGGAATGATGGCAGAAGCACAGCCACTGGGGAGTGTGGAGCAATCCTGGAAGCACTGAGAAAAAGCTACAAGGAATTTGTGCATGGGTGTGGGGTGGTACTGGTGGTAAGCTTTCTGCTGACAAGATAAGTGCCCTGGGAAAGGTTGGACTGTCAGTGAAGGAGAGTCTGTGAAGTAGATTGGTATGGGCGTGGTAGGCTGAACTGATAACGTTGCCAAGTGGAGGTTTTGTTAAATGGTTCATTTCTGGGGTCTCCATAGCTCGCCCAACATGCTCCCCTCCTGCATCTGGGATGGGCAGGGTTGGATAGCTCACCAAGACCTGGCAGTGTGTACATTTGCAGTGATATCTCCCAGCTCTGTTCTTGTGGTCTGGTACCCTGGGACATTACCCAGGCTATTTTTCCTTAACAAGGTCCACTTGGAAGCCTTTGACAGGAGTGTGATGGTTAGAACCCTACCCTGTTCTCATTTAGACCCAGCTCCTGCAAAATAGATCTTTACCATCCTGCTAATAAGATCTGTTCCTGTGTTAATATTTAGAAGTTCAAAAATTGCAACTACTGAGGTAGATACAACCTTTACTATGCATTGAAGTGAAGGGTCAGGGTTGAGTTCTTGTGCCTTGTCCCAATGACACTGTGGCAGAGCACTGGATTCTGGTGTGGCTGCTGATGACCTTCCTGACATCAGGCAGGACACCGAGGCATTATGATTCTGTGATATTATCTATGAGGTGATCTTCCAGGTTCTTTTCCCTTGGTTGGTCATATATTCATTGCCTATCATTTTGGAACAGTCTGTTGTCTGCAGGTGGATATTGATACATCTAGCTTACTTTTGACCAGGTAACATTTGGCAAACACTTTGGCATGCTCACAGAAACCTTGTTAGGGTTGCTGCCTCACTTTTATTATTGAAGAGACAGAGAGACAGATGGACTAAAATACTTGCTGGCAATTCCCAATGAACAAGTGGCAGGCATAGTCTAGGTCTAACACAAAGCCCTCAAGCTTTAACCATTAGGCTACACAGTCTTGGGTCTGTGAGACACTGGCTCTTCTTCCTGTGCCCCCCTTCTCTCCTCCTTCCTCCATGCTTTGTTCTCTTTCTTGTTCCCCATTCCCTTCTTAGTTGCACTATGTCCCTTAAGCTAGCTTCACATGTATGCTCCTCCTGCCCTCCCTTCTGAGTCCTGGCATCACAAGCTGCCATCATGCCATGCTTCATTGTTCTAGTGTGGTTGTCAGAGTCACCCAGGCAGCAGAAACAGCATCCCTGGAGCCAGGGATGCACTGATAAACTTTGCCCAGAGAGGTCAGAAGAGCAACAGGATTCTGTCTAGGTGGCATATCCCATACCATATGGTGACTGGAGACACTGCATTGCATAGTAAGTGGATTTCTTATCTTGTTTGAACAGAAATCACTGTAGTATCTGGATTTAAAGTAGACAATAAATGTCACCCTATGCCAATCGGAGACCACTGATGTGTTATTAAATCTTTGGGTGCAGAAGCACGATCCTGTTTTTCAGCCTTTAGAGGACCTGGCTCTAGATCATTCCCCAAAACTTCATAAGAGTGATTTTCAAGTAGTACACCACAACAGGAGCAATGTGTTCACTATTCTTTGTACCAGAATCTCCCTGCCATGTCTATGAGTCAACTAGTGAGTTAGTAAACACAATGAACAAATACTGAGATTGACTAAATATTAACCTGCATTTGAAACAGTTTACTGAGGAGGGTGGTCTCTCTTCTTCCTTTCTTCTGCATCCAAACTTGAGATGAATAGTTGCTTTCCTTTAAATGCTGTGACCACACGTGGACTGCATCACCAAAGGCACAAATCAATAGAGCTAAACCCAC